TGTGTGCCTTGCAGTTTGCATGGTTTGCCTAGGGAGATCTAATTTGCCCTCGTTGCTTGTGTGCGAGGGTGCCGTGATGCATCACGCTTGCGTTGTGTGCGGGATTGGGGGTGCTTGTGCGTGTTTGTGTGCGTGTGTGAGGTGTGCGCCGCGTGCCGTGTGTGGGTGGCCCTCTCTCTCTCGTTTTGTTGCGGCTGCGTGGGGTCGTGTCTCTGCCTGTTTTTTTAAATAATTTCATTCTCCCTTTTGACTGCTGGTTGAGTATTGTGCTGCAGTTCAACTCAAGTTAACCACCACGAAGGAAAACATGTCTGATAGACGCGAGGGAGAATCTCACGCCGCCGAGGAGCCCCCTGCAACTAATGTGCCGCAGGGAGGGGGACGTCGTGCCCGGATCGGGGCTGTCCGCTGAAGGAAGTCGTTCAGCAAAATTATATTGATTTGGCCAACCCGTACATTACGGACATCCCCAATAGAGCCTGCGAGCGTCCTCCTTGGCCGCTACGGCGCTCCCTCCACCCTTCGGCGCTCTGTGGGGGGCTCATACGAGCCGCCAGGCAGCCTTGACCCCGACAAAAGCCGCTCTTGTAATAGAGAAGGTAGGGAAGATCTTGCACCCCTAAAAAGCCTCACCCACCTGTTTACGGACATCATTCCCTTATTATTATTATTGTTTTGCTCGCCGTCGTGGTGGTTATAACTTCACCGGAGTTGAACTGCAGCACAATACCAACCGCCAGTCAAAACGATGAATGAAAGAACAGAGGAACAAAACACGCATAAACACGACTCTGCGCGGCTGCAACAAAAGAGAACATACCACTCACACAGTGCACGGCGCACACCTCACGCACACGCAGGAGGGCCACCACGACGGCAATGTGAGTGCCCCACGCACCGCAGAGCGTTGAGGAGAGTCAGCGACAACAACAACGTGGTGGGTACGAAGGGCTGCTGCCCGTGAACCCCGCCGGCCACCGTCCCACACCGGCGTGATCAACGCCACTGCACACACACACACACACACGCAAATAGGCACCCCCAATCCCGCACAGCATGAAACACAAAAAAATAGACCAAAAAAGAATAAGACCCTGCACACAAAACGTAGACGGCGCCTGCCGCCCACCACAACCCACACCCCACACATCCGGTGCTGTTCCCCATAAAAACAGGGCCGCACGCAGCCGCAGAATAAACAGTCGGAATACCGCAAAAACATAACACAAAACAAATGTGCCAAACCCCTGCTGCACCGACTGATGACCCGCAAGTGCACAGCAAACAACACTTCAATAAAACAACGACAATACAAGTGTGGCGCCAAACAGGCAAACAGGCACGACCAGCTTGACGCACTTTCGATGCACCGCATGTATTTTGTGCGCCGTTGTTGTTATGTCCGAAACACACAACCAACTTTGATG